GGCTTTCTCGAAGGTTACGAAGACATTTGGCAAGTTTGATACGGATTTGTTTGCTTCATGTGTTAATTCTAAATGCGAAAATTATTGTTCATGGCATAGGAATCCTAATGCAAACTGTATCAACGCGTTTGAAATGAAATGGACAAATCTCTGATTTTACGCCTTTCCTCGGTTTAGTATTATTTTAAATGTGGTAAACAAAATTAAGACAGACCTAGCCTAGGGAGTCCTAATCGTATCTAAATGGAAAATCAGCCCTGTTATCCACTATGTTTATCTATGCTGGATGCTCTATAACTGATTTTTAAACAATCTGATAAACTTTTAATACCTCATGACAGAAAGATCCAACATCTTCTGGTGGGGAAATTAACTCTGTTATCCGGCCGATTGTCCGCCAGGCGTTCCGGCAAAGAATTATTAGCGAAGAAGGGACGGATCTGTTAATTAAGTTGATTAGCGAATCGACATGGAAGGTTTATCACAAATCTGTTATCAAATGGGCTCAGTATTGCAAAAAAACCAATTAGGAAATATTCGAACTGAGGGTCAAAAGGGAATTGGAGTTATCTATGATAAAAATTAATGATGAGGGTTTCCGAATCAAAATACCGGACCCTATAAAGACGTCTAGATGTGGAGCTAATCAACTTTTACTAGAGGTTCTATATTTGAAGTAAAAAACCAAATCTATGCGTAGCAACTATATTTAGAAGTTCCTTCAGGTAACGGATAGTCTCCGTCAGGGAGCGGAGGAGTTCTTTATTTCTACTAGAAAGTCTTATCAAGCGACATCTAAAAACACAATTAGCCGCTGGCGTAGAGCTTTTCTAGCTAAATGTGGCATTGGCGACAAGTTTACGCCATATAATCTATGTCATGTTTCATCTTCATCAGCTACGAAGAAAAGAGTTAAAATCAGCATAATCAAAAGTCTGGCAGGATGGTCAGCCAGCTTCAAAGTATTCGACGTTTTTTATAATCGGTCGAGTATTAAAGACAGGAGAACTCTGGCAAAAACGAACTTAAGTTAAAAGCTACGACACTGTAAATTATATAATATTATGTTAAAATGATTAAGAAGTTTGCTTTAAATCAACACTCACAGAGATGATGTTCATTTATATATAAGCCACTCTGAACATCTACGAGTACATAGTAATCTCGAGAACGAGACACGAATTGTAATCAAGCTTCGCCCGCCTTTGGTGAGCTCGCTTAATCGTTTAATTTCGCAATTAAAAGTTATTTACTTAAAAATTCCAAGACACTACACTTATTACACTCAGCACCTAGACGATACCGCCCATGAGAGAACAACTCTAATAGTAAAAAACGACAATAAAACAAAATGAAACTGATGGTTATAAAAAAGAACATCTTCAAGCATTAGTAGAATAACTGATTGGAGCAATAACACTAACATTCGTACAAAATCCTCCTAAGCATATGATTAAACATGAACGAAATACACATTTTTTAAACTCTAGGTAGTAGATTTATTTCTAGAGGGAACTGTAATACGAAACACACATAGAGAGGATTAAGATATCACATAACCATTCCGGAAATACGCCAGCTGTACCAAGCAATGTTGGAAAATAATCTATATGCATTATCAACGGGAGAACATATTAGCCCTCAGAACGGAGGAAACAATCCGATGTTATTGACTTTGTGTAATTAAAGATTAAAGAGTATCAGAATATTATTTGAAAATAGAATCATATTTGCATTAGACCTCCGATCACAGTTAACTTGCGCCGAAATAAACAAAATTTTTATTGAAGACTTCTTAAAAGCCTAGCAGCAACAGAAGCAACAGATTATTTATTGCAGAGAGTTACAAAGAATATAAAAAATCCACATCAATCGGTACAATCAATACAATTATCTAGCATGAAATGGGCAAGGAGCAGTTAAAATAAGACAAATCTATTTGCAGAATATCTTGCAAAAGTTTTCACGTCATACCCACAAGATTCTACAGAAAACGAAGAGGGAGAAATTTATCGATGTCTGGAAGCACTAAATGGAAATATTAAAAAGATCTGTGCTAAAGAAGTATACGAGGTCTGTTCAAAAAGTATTGCGAA